ATGACAGGCTTTTATTCTTTATAATGCCCTTTTTCTTCTTTTCAGTGTTCAGTGACTGCACATCATTTGAAGGTGGGAAAAAAAATGCCTCCCTCCTAGATCTCTCAATATTTTGGAATTTACAGATGAGATGTCCCAGGAAGGCACTAGTGATGTAGCCTTCCCAGGATGCATCGGTGAGGCCAGAGCTACATCACTAGTGCCTCACTCGACCAGAAGTGGCACAGTAATTGTAGGCAATAGTAAACTGTCTGTTTAATGAATGCAAGATGATTTCATATCAGCATGATTTTTTTAGTGAAAGAGGTTAAAGACATGCTGTAAAAGGGAGTGTGGAGAAGGCCAAGATCCAGTGTTTTGTTAACAACTGGGATCAAACTACCTTTTCTGTCACAACAAGAGCTCCCATTCTTCATTGGTGGTGAAGACGCATTAGAACCTGGATGTTGTCCAGCAGGGTCCGAAACTGGATTCCTGACCAGAGAGAAATCCCACAATGAAGGAACCACCTATTTTGGAAATCCAGAATGTAGCCCAGGAGACGATTCTTCAATGAGAGGAGTTGTCCAGCAATGGGAAGAGAAGTACTTATCAGCTGCATGACTTTTCACAAAAGGTTGTCCGAGTGCCCAACAATGGGGATGATGCCATGGCAAAGCACAGATACTGAGGCCAACACCCTGAGAAGTACTAGATGCACATGCAGCGACACTGAGGAGTCAGAGACCAGCCAGTGTTGATCCCAGCTGAATGAGCAAGTCAGGAGGTTACATCTGGTGAAAGTGAGAGATGATCACACGGAATGATACCAGGTGCCATTGATCGTCTTACATGTCCCAGGGAAACAAACTGCTACAAGGGAGAGGGCGGTGGCCAGCATGGGGAAAGATCCTGAGGCTGAGATGACACAGGAGCTATAGCAGGTTTCAGGGGACCCTTACAGGGGCAAGGGGTGGTCTGTTAATCTGTGTAGTGACATTGGGGGAGAGGGTAAGCAGCTGTAGAGAGTCCCAGAGACAAGGAGTTAGCCTGTAAACCTAAGGGGCACTCTGCACCTAGATGTCTAAAGGGCAAATTTCCCAAGGGCCCACAAGGATTAGCAAAAAGGAAACATGGGGTGAACCTTCATACTGAAGATTTTTAAGTGTTTAGCTGTTTTTTTGCTTTCAGCCTTGTGGTTGTCTGAGGACCAGGCATAGAGGGTCTTGGTTGTGCCTACCCTCAGAGCACATGGAGAGATGGCCTTTCCTTAACTTTTTTCTATGATGGAGATGCATGCACTGACCTCCAGGGATATCTTCAATGAAAATGCCAAGGATTGGTCTAAAAATACCTGGAAGACCAAGTGACTCCTTGGATACAGCATCTGTCCTGAGAAGCAAAGAACTCGCCAGCAAGAATTGGGTGTTAAGGAGAGATTCTAGCTGTTGGTTAGTAAAAACTTTAAACCTAAAAATGCCCTTTACTGCCCTAGTGGATTCCCCATTACGATGGGTTACTGGCAGATCTACAGCAGGTACAGACCATTATTTAACTCCTTCCCAAATGGGAACTTTGAAACAAGCATGCAGGTAGAGTTACTGAACCATTCAGGGTGCCTTTTAATCCACACAGGAGGTTGAAGTATACTTTGAATATTGGTTGAAATGAAAAGGTCTTTGCAGCTGTAGAAGCTCTTAAGGACTAAGGCAATAGCAGCAGACTGCAGTTTCTCAATAACAATATCAGACAGAGGGAACCTTGAATCTGAGTTAAAGCTCTAACATTCACTCTGTTTAGGAAGGCGCAGGAGTGTGCTTACAGCCTCTGCAGTCAGCACCCGTGAGAAACTGGGTCCTCAAAGTCTTGTATGACTGCAGTAGAGGCCCTGAACGACAAGGCAGGAGATGCAGCCTCACTCTACGGAGCCAAGGGGAACTCTGATGTGATATACCCCGTAACTATTGGGTAAAAAGATTCCAGATTACAGACGTCGGTACCCTCAGAAGGCACAGGTGTGAGCTGTTGCAGTGACACCCACTGTCATGGAAGTTCTGCAATTAAGTTCAGCATAGGAGACAAGACCTCAGGTATTCAGAACCCCAGGAATCTGGTAGCCAATGAGTGTCCAAAGGCTGGAGGTGACCCAGGTCACTAGATAGGCAGTAGGAATTGATCGGAGTTTCACATTGTTCATTGCAAAGAAGGAGCAGCAAGCAGGGCCATGCTTTTACATTGAAAGATAGGAAAGGGAGCAAAGGGCGTGCGGTATTCCTCCCAGCGTATGACATCAGTGCGTAGCCTTTCAGAATTAACCCCCCTTCCACAATGGACCAACGGAAAGCAGGAGAATCAAAAGGCACACAAAATGGTCTGAGAGAGACAGGGAAAACGCTGAGGCAATGCCAGTAGCTGTCGACTTGGAAATTGCTCCATGGCTAACAAGTTACAAGAACGGGGTCTGGAAAGCACGCTACAGCATAACTCAGTACTGGAAGGTCACTTCCAGGCTAGCCCCACAACGTCCAGTCCAGTGGGGTCCAGGTACGACATTTCAAAGCTAGGCTGAAGAAAGGTTGATTCACATAGCCGTCAAGTAGACACCTTCTCAATCAGCACTGTAGCCAGGAATCTTGATTGAAGGGAAAACTAGCAATAGTGGTTAGACTTTTCCCAGAAGAGCTGACAAAAAAAAAAAAGGTCTAGCCTCCCGAGGACACTAGCAAAAACTGAGGCATGCTGGGCTGGCCTACAGGTTTTTTTTTGCCAGCATCCAAACTTCCTGTGGGTGGCAGCATAACTTAAGATTAGATGACTTCCTCTATCCCTCATTGGATGAAAAAAAAAAAAAGGAAAATTCAGTGAACTAAATGCCACCCAGGAATGCCTACCACCATAACAAATATAGTTAGTCTACTTCATTCACTGAAGTTTATTTCCTACAACCAGACTGAGAAGGGCTTTCAAAACCAAACAGAATCAAATAGTTGGAGTTGGGAATGTGTGGCCTGCAGAATAACTGCCTCAGGATTAGGTGGTTGCAGAAAACTGGATCAACAGTGGGCAATTGTGGGCATAGCGTTCTGTTTATGCTTTTTTGTTTTTATATCTCTCTATAGGTTGAACTCGGACAGGTGTCATTTTTTTTCAACCTATGTAAAACCAGATTACTGGCAAGGATTTACATAATAACGTCTATTGGTGTCTACAAGAAATGCCAGAGCATAAGGCAAAGGCAGGTTGTGTTGTCTGCAAGTTTATAGAGGGTAATCTTTAATGAAGACTAATTACTTTATAAATTTTAATTTCATCTTGAGGAACATGGACTTTTTTTTATTACATATACGCAACAATGTTTAAAAAGAAAAAAAAAAAAAAAAAAAAAAAAGTAATGCAGGTTTTCCTCACTTTATCTACAGTTCACAAAAGGATTTTGGCTTGTGGGAGTAAAGTTAAATTCCATTACATTGAATTCCGATATACTAAGTCTTACCATCACCATAACTTTATAGCAATGTCTGCTGGTACACAAAATAGGCATGCATTACTCAGCATTTAAATACTCAGCCAGCCAACCAGAGCAAATAAGGTCGCCATTCTTACACAAACTGAAATTATCACTAACTGCAAATATTAGAATTTGTTAATACTTCAGACTGGGAAAAAGATCTCCATTAGCAGATTTAATGCTCTCATTAACAAAGAGGACTGGTTACAATATAGCGATGCGCTGCAGACCTCTGTGGCAGGGAGGATTAGTGGTACACACACAAAATGCTTACTATCTAAAATATTGCTGGTATAAACGGTTTTTCGTTAACGGCAACTGCTGGTTAATTTGATAATCTCTCTAACAGACAATGTGTGCTCCTGTATAATAATACCCAACATCAGTTTACCAAGTCACATATATGTAGGCAATACGAGGGGAAAAAAAAAAAGGGCAAAAAAGAAACCCAGTGAGGATGACTGCGTCAAAACACTTGAAATTTAAAATTACGCGTTTTTTAACATCACTAAATTAGATTCAGACAACACAAAAAGTAAAAAAAAAAAAAAAAAAATATGGAAGGACAATAAAAGGAATCACATTTTAATGTGAATGCCTGAAAACACTGTTTTCATAGCCACTCATGTGCAATGTACTACGAAATGTGTTCAGGAGAGAATACCAAATAAAAATCAGAATATATTCTTAATGGACCTCATTATAGGAAAATCTACCAGTTTTCTTTGAGGGATTAACTTGTGTTCTATAAAAACATGGAAAAGAGTGCAGGAAAAAAAGTTTTTGTTTTCTCTCACAGTAACTTTATTCTAGCTGTCATTTCTGTAGCGCAGGTTTAAAAATGAAAACAAGAACCTGACCTCTCCACTTTTACTTGCCTCTACCATACCCAAGTTCTATACACCAAATGAATTACAAAAATAGAATAGTTAAGGAACTAAAGCTCTTGAACAGGATGTATGCCACACAAGGTCTTAAGACCTTACAAACTAATGTATATTCTGGCAGAAAGCCATCATTTTCAAGTAACAGTAGAAGGGTTAAAACCAAGGGAGAAGTTAAAAGCTCAAGGGTAAAACAAACAAATATTTTTAATTCAAAATGTAAATTAAAACACCACTGCAGTCTACCTCCACCAGAAGTTCACTTTATTTTAATTGTCAAGTGACAAGCTTCACTACTTAGCCTATGCTGAAAAAAAAGAGGAAGGGGAGGGGTATTCACATTAGTTAAACATATGGGAACACGCACACAAATGCTAATGAGAAGTATGGGTCATGTAGATTTGTTTTAAGAGAAGCAGGACTGCTGTTGGGCTTATTTCAAGGTACTGGTCTGATCCTTCAAGTATTTGTGCATGGGTCACAAAAAGGCAAGATATTTGTTTTGCTTTGAGTACCAAGTGAACAAAACATTTTTGAAAGCTCCAAGTATTAAGCATGTCTTGATATATGCCCAGCTACCAAACAAAAGTGTTAAGTTTGAAAACAGTGTGAAAAATAAACAGGTATTCTTTAACTACAAGAACTGAGGGGAAGAAAAGAATGGAAAACAAGGTTTTTTGTCTTCTTTTCAGAAGTCCACCTAACTTCACAATTCCGTTCTTTGGCTGTTTTCAGCTAGTTTTCAGAGGCCATGCTTCATCTCCTAGCCTCTTCTGTGCTAAGCTGGCTAACTCAACCAGCAGCGTTGCCAAGCAACAAGAGTAACCCAAGAAACTGACAGCATCCTCTTCACTGCAAATCCTTGATGGCCCCAGTGTTCCCCCCCTTGACGAACAGGGTTTAGCATTTCTTCAATTGTTGACAGGGTCACATGGAAGAGAGTTCTAGATCACCATGCGGGGTCTGGAGTATACCGATTTCTTTCTGCAGCAATTTCTCAAGATGTACTGTCAGATCTTCCATAGCAGAAAGGCAATCACTTTACCCAGACGGTGAGCATTGTACTCTGTGCCCTTGGGGTTGCTGACCACTGGTGTTTAACGTTGCTCAGGGTGCAACGTTCCTATGGGATTCCCGTTCCCACTGCACCAGGATTTCCTAGGTTACCGCATATTAAGCCCCAGTATACATCACCACCAGCCTTGGCGAGGCTGTGGATGCCTGAGACTGGACTGATTCTGGTGGATTGCTGACTGTGCTGAACCAGGCTGGTCTGCCGTCTTCTTGTTCACACCCAAGCTGTCCAACCTTCATACAGCTGAGCCAGGTTATCTAGATTTGTTGCCTCTTTAATCACAAAGTCCACCTAATAAATGTTAAGAGAATTGTTAAATAAAATGGGTAATTTCAATAGAACCAGTCACACACTGCACTCCCAAAATATTTACTGTTACAAACGCAACATGAATGCAAACATGACCCCTGAGCCTAAATCAGCATTTTCTACCTATGTCATTGTCTTGGGTTTTTGTCCCACATGACCTGCTCATTAATAATCAATTTATGTCACCAGCGGATGTCACCCATGCTCAGATTGAACAGCTCTGGAATGTATACACAGCAAATGTATTGGGGTACCAACATTCAAATTACTAAGGATGATAGGAAATAAAAACAGAAAGAAGTGGTCAGGATAAACATATCTGGACAAGGCACAGTAAAGCCAAACTGTACGATGCAGCTAAATGACCCTCTAACACCCAGAAGTGTTTCATTATACAGATCACTGGATCAGATATTACCGTGGGGTAAAGTCTGCACAAAAAAAGTACTGTAGGTACCATTTAGTATACAGTGTTACCTCGGTTCACAAACTTAATTCGTTCCATGATTCTGGTCGTGAACCCGAATTGGTCGCGAACCGAATCAAACTGTGACCAGACCGTGATCTTGCTTCGAGGAAGCCACGACCATGTGTCAGAGCAGGGAAGATGGCTGCGGTTGTGTTGTCATCCGATGCGGGGTTCGTCATGGAAGCAAAATTTTGCCAAACTTCCTGCTCGCGAACCAAATTGTTTGCAAGCAGAAGCGTTCGTGAACCGAGGAACCACTGTACATTTTTTTTGACAGAAGGTAATGGCATCCGCCAATCTATGTCAAGTTCTCTTTAAATAGAAAGTTCCAAGTTATACAATGGTTTTCAAAACTTGGCTCTGCGCCTCATGACCTCCCTGGCAGTGAATTGGGATAAGTGAAAACATGAATACTGTCAGCTTTATTGCTCAACTATTAAGAGGTTCAATAATAGGCTGCATCGTGCTGGGCTTAAAAGGGTGGCTGAATATGAAGATGTGCTGTAAATATCCATTATCAGTATCCTGCCCTTACAGTTACCATGGCTCACCAACAAGGCTGCACTAAAGATGCTAACATGCAAGTGATGGGCAAGGGCAGCAAAATGATCAGTGAAGACGTTTCAATAGAGAGAATCTCTAAAAGCTAACTTTATCAATTAGGGTCCTAATCAAATACTTTGGGTGCAGTTGCTCTTTAGATTTTATTACCCTTGCACTGGTTGTGAAATCTTCCCTGACATCAGAGATAAATCTGTACACCTTTTTTAAAATAAACAGCAAATAGGATGCTCATTTCAGACTAAAAATACAGGAAAGAAATTGCATCAAAAAGTCAGTGGCTGCCAAGCATTATAAGTTTGTGCGTGTCTTCCCATCTACCTACCTGTTCAGCAACAGACATCCTTCTGTTGGGATCCACATCTCTTCCCTCTAGCTTGGCTTTCACTCGTTTCCAAACGCTGACTGCATAAGAATTGCGCTCTTGCACAGCTGAAACAGGAAAAGCTTACAATCAAAATGCTACGTACCAAGGATCGACCCATGCATCAACAGAAAACAGTAGCGGTAGATTTCAGAGTTCCCCTCTAATTATATCAAGTATAATTGGTTTGGTTTCAGAACTCCAAACTGGAAAGCCTAATTTCTGATTAGCTTACGAAGATTTCAAACCTGGGTTGGGTTTATATGGTTGTCTGCTTTCCCATTTAGGCAATTCCCCTTACTTTATGTCCTAGAATGTGAATGCAGAGACTAAAAACCTGAAAAGGGTTCCAACACTTCCACTGGTCCGTATTACTGTTGGAGAGATATTTCCTGTTGCTTTCAGTTTTTGTGACCACTATCAGTACTAAGTATTGAGGGAGATTCTGCTCAATAGGTGACAAAGTAGTTTTATCCTTTGCCCACTCAATCCAGAATGAAAAAAGTTGGTCAGTTTTATTCAACAGTGTTCACTATATAACCAATTACAACCAGCTGGAAATGGTCTTTCTTCAATATGAATATAGTAAATTATTAACCAGTTGACATCCGCGGTGTTAAACCCCCTTCCCATCCAGGCCATTTTTCAGTATTCAGCGCTGCGGTACTTTGACTGACATTTATTCCGTCATGCAGCGCTGTACTGAAATGAATTTTATACCCTTTTTTGGGGACAGATAGAGCTTTCTTTTGGTGGTATTTATTCACCACTGGGGGTTTTATTTTTTTACTATATTAAAATGTCTGATTGAGTGGCATTTGACTACATGTATGCTTCCTTATCCTATACGGGCCTCTTGCAGCGGATGACGATACAACTGCTCTACACTAATCCAAAAGCTAGAGACAACGGTCTTCTTCTCACAACCTCTCACTATCCATAATGCAACCAGTCAGGGATGCTCTTTATCCTCCCTCCTCTTAGTTGTCACCTTGGAACCTTTTTTCTACGCCTGGTTCCATCTTCATTTAAGGTGTCCGCTTTTGCTGACGACTAACTCTTACTCATTAACTGAACTCCAGGTGTGCAAACTAGCTTTCGTTGAATTAGTCTATGGGTTCATTTCATTTTTCTTCCAGCACTGTGAATGTTTAAAGGGTGTGTTCAATAAAGACACGTACAATTACAATTGTTTGTGTGTTATCAGCTTAGGGATGAGGTGAATTTATCAAAACTGAAGCAGACAAAATCTAGAGCAGTTGCCCAGGGCAACCAAATGGATTCTCTCTCTAGTTTGTTCAGTTAAGATTTGAAAATGAAAGAGAAGTTGATTGGTTGCCGTGCACAGCTGCTCCAGATTTTGATAAATTCCCCTCATTGTGTTTGATATTATTGTGACTTAGATGAGGATCAGATCACATTTTATGGTAAATTACTGCAGAAAACCAGTTAATTCCAAGGGGTTTACAAAACTTTGCCACTGTATGTGCTTTAACCTGGCCTTCCCAACTGGCATGACACCATCTTTTTTTTACATCATTAGTGGCCTACTCCACAGCTGGATGCACGGACATTCTTTGATGGAGACGGCTAAATGACCTTTCAGAGAGTGAAAACATGTCGTTTTGGTCATATCTATAGCTTAGACATTTTCTCAATGCCCCTGGTACGTGTACTCTTTTTTCAGAAGTTTTGGAGGGAACTCTTGGATTTGAGACTGTGTAGGCCACTGGACTCCTGCACAAAATTTCCCGTACTACACCAGACATAGGCCAGAGATGCCATAGCCATGTAAGGACTCTTCTCCACATCCGGTGGACCTGTCCCTTGATTAAACCATACTGGCAAGAGGTGGGTTGATTGATAAGGATAGTTTTTGGTGAGTCAATTCCTTTTAATTCTGTCAGCTTTTGTCTCCACCACCCGGACTCCACAGCCCCAAAAGATCCATCTCTATTTACTTAACCCCTTCATGACTGAGGCCCTTTTTTCATTTTTTGCACCCATGTTATATTCCACATTTTAGGCCTGAAAATGACGTAAAACCCCCCAACATTATATATTTTCTGAATGCCAAGACCCTATAGAATAAAATGGTGGTAGTTGAAAATGTTTATGTTGTGCAATATTAGCGCAACTCCTTATTAAGAAAATGGCAGTACTGAGATTCTGGAAATAATCTGTAGCACCCACCACCCATGACTAGAGATGGAAGAATTGATTTACATCAATTCTTGACAACATGACAAAATTCATGCGTACCTGGTCCAGTTGAGTGTCCTTCCTTCCCATTCTTGACCTTTCCTCTTTCTATGTTCATGATTTTCCCCGAGCTTCCTTTACTACTCCCACTGCCTAGTCTTTGTACTCTCTCTACTTGCCTAGTACTCCTATACTAGCCCATATACTATACTAGCCACATTGAGATACTCCACTTTGCTTCTTCCACACTGCTAACAGTTGCTAAAGACTCACTCTCAACAGATCATAGCTTCATTATAGTTTCTAAGGTTCTCCATCAAGTTGAAAGCTTAACCCCTTCATGACTGAGGCCCTTTTTTCATTTTTTGCACCCATGTTATATTCCAAGATTTTCACTCGCTTGCATTGCCTGCACCAACCTCGATTTGTGGACTATGTATTGTGTAAAGTTATCTCTATTCTCTCTGTATGAGGCGAGGGCCAGTAAAGCCCTATTCTACGTTTACTTTTTATTTTACTGTAATGCACATCTTCAAAGTTGTAATAAACTATTTTGAAAACAGAAAATATTTAATTGATGTATACATGCCCATGGTTTGCTACATATTTTTAAAAAGGGCCAATAAACAAAGTTGGTAAACATAAAACAAAGTATAACTTGTATATAGAGCTGCACATTTTAGCAGCTTCTCAGAACTATCATATAGTGGTGTTTTTTCCCCTACAAAGTAACTTATTTTAGTTTTGATTCTTAAACTAGACTACTAAAAAAAAACACATTAAAGGGGCAAATTTAAAATGCAATGAAAGTGAAATTTGCCATTTACTGTAGAGGACTCTTCCTGGTGCATGTGTTTCAACTCTTTCGCTGCCACCAATGTAACTATTACATCAGAGGCAACATGTCAACAAACTCTCAGCCACTAGAGCAGCAGTAAGTTTGTTCACCTTTTCACTGCAGGCTTGCAGCTATGAGTAAAGGTGATTCATGCAGTTGTAAAGCTACCCAATCAGTGGCGTAACCAGAGTTATGGGCGCCCGGGGCAGAACATTTTTTTCGCCCCCCCCATATTATATAAACATCCACTAGAACTGTACCCCCCACCCCCACACATATTTATCAGCTAAGGAACTACAACCAATCACTTCTAAATTGTAGGAAACAAGCCAATTTATCCCCCACCCGGTATCCCTGGCTAACCTGTCCCTCCTGGGTGCCTGGGACCTAAATGGCAGGTGTGAGGATGGAGATTGGCAGAGACCAGTAAACGTCTGTTGGCTTATCCTCCCTGCAAAGTGTAAACTAAATTCAGATCCTATGAAGTCACAGGGGAGCCACATGGAAGACGCACTCTATACAAAGGAATAGGAAACCATAGGTGACCGGAACAAGACCTGACCATAATGGTGTTCAGGAGCCAGATGCCGGTCCAGACCATTATGCAAAAAAGGCCAGGACTCATCCCACAGAGAATTTCCTGATTAAACTTTCATGCCTTGCAGAAAGTGAAGTATGTCTTCCATGTGCAGTGACAAACCTTGCAGAAGTAGTCATCTAGCTGTTAGCATTGTGGGACTAACTTATTCAGAGATACCTCTGTCCCCCATAATCTTGGCTTCAACAGCCATGTTTGTAAAGCCAGCAGACCATGCAGCAGAGTGATAAATAGATCTTCATGACAGAAGATCTGGAAGAGCCCACAAAGTGCCATCCCAGGCCGCCTGGGTCATTCTGGGGCTATGGGGAACACTGGAATGACATACTAGAGGCCAGGAGGTCCAGATCTGATGTTCTCCACCTGTGACACAGGTCGTGGAATGCCTCTGGGTGTGGGGACCATTAACCCGGGTCTAGGCACTGCCGGATAGGTTTGCCTGCTAATAGCCTACACCTGGCATGCAAATGGGAGAAAGGCTGGAACATAAAGATCTGCCCAGGGCAGGATATTCTCTATCTCTCTTGCTGTGGCGAGACTTCTGGTTCCTCTCTGATGGTTGCTTTACATCACTGCCATGGCATTGTCTGACTGAATTCGGACTGGATGACCCCCCAGCTGGAAGGTCCAGTGTTACAGGGACAACCAAATCCCTGTAAAGGTCTAGAATGTTCATCGGGAGATGAGATTTGTCCAAAGTCCAAGTCCCTTGCACCAACCAGTCGTTCAGGACTCCCACCAGCCAGATAGGCTGGCATTAGTCAAGAGGATATTCCAGAATAACGGAAGGAAGACTCCAGAGCAGGATTCCTTATCCACCAAGCCAGGCTCTATGGTATCACATGAATAGGTCTGTCCAAGAACTGGACCGACCTGTCTGACAACAACAGGATATTGTGTTGTAGGATTTGGAGTTGACCTGCAGGGCCATCTTTTCCGCAGGGCAAAAGGGGTAAGTGCCCTGGGCCCAATAATTTACAGGGGTCCACAGCAGCTGTCCCTTTCGGCAAAAGACATAAAATGAGCAGCAGCACCGCCAGTGGGGAGACCGACAAACCATTCTCCTCTAGTAACCTAGTTACAATACAACATTGAGCAAAAGAAGACAGCCCTTTATTAGTACAAGTACATATAATTACCTTTGCCAGTTTTTGGATCCCGCACTGCCTTTTTCGGACTAGAAACACTCTTGCCAGGCCCCGGAACAGTGCTTGGTGGAGTATCTGCTGATGGTGCCAAGTTTTTCTGGACTGGCTTTTTTGCATTTTGTGACATGCCCTCTGGCTGAGTCTTCGGGACAGTGTTACTACGCACAGCTATTTTGAAAAACGTCAGATTAGAAACAGTCCAAACCAACTAACAAGACAACCAATAAAAAAAATATATATTTAATAAACAGCCAGTTTCTGCTCAAGAGAATATAGGATATCGTCATTACTCATTGCACAGCACAAACCCAGCCTTCTACAGAAGTATAAAAGACAACTGAAACATCTTTCAGTTAGACACAGGTTTACAAGCATAACAAACAAAAAAAGGCCGCAATTTACTTGTGGAAACGTTAGAATTAGTAAGTCAGAATAAAAGAAACTTATAGTATTTTACATTTTTACTTATTGAAATAATGCACTCTGGCAGATATGTTCTAACATATAAAAATGTGATAGTGGCATAAAAAATTACCCTAAAGAGACCGTCACTTTACCCTTTAAGGAAAAGTGATATTTTTAAAAGATCCCCCACCCTACCCCTTTCAACACGTTCCCCCTGGTGTACCATGTTTCTGTCAAAGATGGGAGTCGACCTTGTGTAATAACATTCCATGTTGAATGCAGTCAGAGCTTACACAAGGTTCATGACTTTTGCATCCACCTCATGTGACCGTGCTTGGACCGGTTGACTGGCCACACAGGCCCAAACACTGCATATATCCTAGGACCTGATATTCCTCAATACCCAGTAGCCCTAGATATTTTGCAAGGGCTCTGGTTGACCCAAGGGGAGCACAGCAAAGCAGAGTATAAGTGGGTTGGAGGGTGGCCTTTTACGTTACTCTGCCACTACCCTTTAAGGTAATCACTGCCACAATAACTCAAAATATGCGCTTCAAAGAAAATTTCAAGGCCGTTATGCCAACTGCATGAAAGGTTACAGGTATGAGATGGGCTACCCCAGAAATCGTCAAAACATTATATTTAGTAGAAGGGGTTTTAAAATTATAGTCTGAAAAATACCTTTATTAACTATGTAAATTACATACAAATTATTAAATTCTTCAGTAACAAACTGAAGCTACTGCACTACTACTAAATGTTATACTTGCTCTTGACAAAACTATTGTAGGAAAATAACTATTACAGGAACTTTTTCAGTAAAGAATTGCCAACAGTAAGATGTGCCAAGCATAACCGTTCATGTCAATCAATTGCAAAACTGCAGATCTGAGTTCAGTACTTTGAGATATGATCATCTGGTTACTACATTTCATGTGACAATGCTTTTTGGACTGCCAAAAATATACATAATCCAATATCTGTGTGATTAAAAAAGGACACTGGACTTTATGGCTGAAAGTAAAAGAAAAAAATATGTATTGAAAATAGCAACCAAAATCAGATTGTTAATTTTCTAATCTGCTTTTCAGAAATGAGGTAGAGACTGCTCAGTTGTATGGGGTAGGTCGTAATCACTGTATGCAGAGACTACAAACCAGGAAATTGTGTCGACCCCTCTATACATATGCCAACCGGTGATTTAAATGTACTTCTTCCTGTATGTGCTTATAGCATGTTTCAGCCTTTGTACATGCTTCAAAAAGTCAGGGCTGTCAGAACTGTCCATGCTACAAATATACTATGAACAAAGCTTTCCCCTTTGTGAGATTCATTTTTACAAATGGGGTGAAATTAGTCATCAAACTGTAACCATTTTATAGTTACTACACAGGTTTCAGTGTCAACTGAATAACCCCGAGCAAGAAGCACAAGACTACACCAAGTACAAATAACGTGCTAACACCAAGTACAAATAAGACTAATAACCTTATTAAGTAAAGTGTAAAAGCACACAGTGCGGTATCCCATTGCCACCATTCATCCATCTTGTAATTAACAAGCTTTAGTATGGAATGGTCCCCACACTATGCTTCTTGTACTGCTTACTGAATAAGCCCATAAGACTCTAAAAACACTAACTCTAAAAAATGATCAGTGGTCATGTTGTGTTATCAGTATAGTTGTAAACGGTGCTTAAAAAGGAGTACACTATAATTATTACCTGCGGCAAAACTGGGAAGGTATGTTGAAGATGTCGTTGGACTAGCACACTCGTTTGTTGCATCAGTTACCAGAGGTGATGCAAAACCCACCAGATTGTTATAGATACTAAAGAGAAAGGAAAGAAATTATGAAAAAAGTCAGCTCCATGCCTGAAACCAAAGGCCCCATTCACACTGAGCGACTTGCGATATTGAGCGATATTGCGTGACTTGCGATATTAAGCGACTTTTTCCTACTGGGCTGTATGCAATCAGGAGCAAAATCGCTCGAAAAAAGGGTCATGTAGGAGCTACAAGCGATATTGAGCAATATTGAGCGACGAGATGTGAACAGCTCCATTGTAATGGATTGGAGAAGCTACATAGAGCAATATCGCTGCAAAAATCGCTCGATAAATCGCTCAGTGTGAATGGGGCCAAAGACAGAGGTTTTACAATACAAATGACAGGAATCTGGATGTACTTCCATGGTGCAAACAACCCATAACAAAATTTACCAATACATGAAATGTTAAGACTTGCTCTTACCTCTGGCTCTGGGTTTTCATCTCTTTCAGGGTTGGTGTTATTTCTTGCAGCATATCTATATGTTCTTGGCTGCGTACTTGGCCCAAAGCCTGAACCAGAGTAAATAGAACTGTCTGGATGTTATCCTGCCATGACTTGTATTCGCCCAAAAATTGCCTAACACTATTCTCGTAGGGAACATCTTCTCCATCTGCCATGGCTGCCTCTTCATCCTTAAAATAAAATTGTTCAGAGTTCAGTTGATATTGAAATGATAGATACTTATGGCTTGAAAAGCCATTAGAAAGCAATGATGACCGTTAGTTTGTATCACAAACCTGCAGACTAATTGTTTTTTTTTTTTTCATTAAAGTATTTTAAGAAATTATGTTTTCCAAAATGAAATATAGTACTTTTTAAGCCCAACTTCAGGGTACTTTTTCTTTTTTGGGCCCCAGCTGGTAAAAACACAAAACAAAAACAAACTAAAGCAATTGCAACTTAGCCTGCAATACTCACTACCTCTGTGGGGAGGGGATCTCATTCTGACACAAGATGTCCTCAGTCTTCACGGGTTGAATTAATTTTAGGGTCATACAACCTGCAACTGAGTACATACTACACTATAGGTGCAGAAAGTCAGAATGATACCCTGCCGAAGTGGTGCATCAGCAAGGACTGAAGTTTGAAGAGGTCACAGCATGTCACATGACAAGCCTGAAGACATCTGGGAAAAACTACCCACCCCCCCCCCCCCCTTAAAAAAGGGTGGGCTATAAAAATGTGTGTGTGTGTGTGGGGTCGGCCTAGTTAGCTGTTCTTTCAACTTATGTTAAAACATAGCCACCTTTTATATATTTACATAGATGTAAATCAAGTCTAGGATAAACAGATTAATTCAGCAGCCCACCTTTGCCATTGCTTTCAGCAAGTGCTTGACATCTCCCAGCTGTCTGTTGTGACCTGTCAGCACACTCTTAATGGAGTCCACCAGGTTCTGAATAGTTTCGCACACAGCCTCAGTCTGCTGCTCCTTCTCACTCTGCAGATTCCTCTGATTCGACATATCATGACTCAATTGCTTGTGGGCAGAAACCAGCCACTCAGGACTTCCAATGGTGCTTTCACTTGAAGGTCCCTGCTTTGAAGTGACATAACTTTAAAATGCATTTGTAGAATTACATAAACAAATCCAACTTCCATCTTCGGGCTAGTCAGTATTCACATTCAATTCCCTTTCAGAACATTTTTTTTTGCTGCCGCAAGATGCCCTCAGTTTGATGGCCAACATCATTCAACCCACTTCTTCTGAGCCTAGGATGTCTTTGATCCCTAGATTGCCCTCGGTCTGATGGCCATCATTCAACCCTCTTCTTCTGAGCCTAGGAAATCTTTGACCCATCCCAGCCTGTGACCGTACAGTGAAAAGAGAAGTAGCTCATCTGTGTCCAGTGGCGGAACTACCGCCGGTGCAGGCGCACGGGGCCTCAGGCTCTGGGGGGGCCCAAGCAAGATGCCGGCCGCCGGATCAGTATCCAGCGCCCGGCGGGACCCTGGTCTCTCCGCCGGGAGTGTCGGATCATCCGTTCATCCGACACTCCCGGCCAGTGGC